TCTGAGTCTGAAAAAAATACAGTTGGATTTGTATGCTGAAATGCCCCCAAAACAAATGATTCTGAGAAATGAAACCACGACCAGAAATGAGTTGAGAAAATGAACATAATGGAGTGTCTCAGAATAAGGGTTGAACGGCTGAAAAGAATAAAAAGGAGAGGTTCAAGCGGAGCTCAGAGAGAGAAGAAAGACAATCCGCAGGGTAGACCCCAGCAAAGGGTTTTTGTCTGAGGTTTATGCAATGAATCGTGGCTTCAGTGAGCTGATTCCTGGTATACATTGCACTACATTTGGCCAGAACAATGATTGCTGGTTTTTTTTTTTAAACTCACAAAAATCAAAGTATTGTGTAGCTTTTTCCACCTGCCTGAGGCTCCAGGTTATGAAAAGAAAAGGATGAATCATAAGTAAGAATATAGCTTTGATGAAAAAGCCCTCTATCATATGATGACATGATTGGTTTAACAAGACCCATGGTGTTTGTCTGACGGAGACAAGACTATTTTTGGACTTCACGTAGCAGAATTCTTGTATCACAAGAATATTCGTAGATATTTGCGATATGAGTCCACTTTGAGCATCTGAAAGTTCAATTCTGGGTGCAGTCTGGTTTTTGTATGTGTTCTTGTAGTAGCAGTTTATTGCATAAGGAACAATTACTCCAGGGTTTTTTTGAAAAAAAAAATTAAGTAGCAGTAGTAGCTAATGCTTAGATGCTTACTATATGCCAGGCACCGTTTGAAGCTCTTGACATGCATTCACTCTTGTAACTGTTTCAGCAGCCCATTTAGGTAGATACTGTATGATTCCATTTTGCAGATGAGGAGACCGAGGTTCAGGGAGATTAAATAACTTTCCCAGCGTCATAGAGCCAGACAGGAGTAGAGCCAAACCCCCTTGCACCCACCCCTCTATTTGGCAATTGCTCATATTTATCCTATTTGCTTCAAGTTATCTTATATACAAGAGATAAAACACCATGTAGAAAGTTGCTGTGCCTGTTATATTCCCAGTCCCTGCTTCATCCCCTATCCCATCCACATGGGGTGTACCCTCCAGTTCCTTTTTCAAATATATTTACATAGATGTCATATTTATAGACAATAGAGAATGTCAGTTTTCATGTTTTGACATTTGCATAAGTGGTAATATACTCTACGTCCATTGTACAACTCGCTTTTTCCTCCATTTCCACCATTATGATGTGAGTGTCGTCTACATTGATATGAATCCATTTCTCTGCACCATCCAGGTCTGCAGTTGCTGGCCACATTTGGCTGCTGAGCAGTGATATATGACTAGTTGGAATTGAGATGTACCATACGTGTAAAACACATACCCGGTTTCAAAGACAGTAGGGAAAACAGTAAAATGTCCTATTAATAATTTTAATATTGATTACTTATTGAAATTATAATATTTTGGATGTATTGGGTTAAATAAAATATATTATTAAAATTAGCTTCACCTATGTTTTCTTTTTTCTTTTTTTTTTTTTTGAGACGGAGCCTTGCTCTGTCACCCAGGCTGGAGTGCAGTGGCATGATCTCGGCTCACTGCAACCTCTGCCTCCCAGGTTCAAGCAATTCTCCTGCCTCAGCCTCCCAAGTAACTGGGACTGCAGGTGTGTGCCACCATGCCTAACTAATTTTTGTATTTTTAGTAGAGATGGGGTTTTACTATGTTGCCCAGGCTAACCTCAAGTGATTCACCAGCCTTGGCATCCCAAAGTGCTGAGATTACAGACATAAGCCACCACACCTGACCTGTTGTCTTATTTTTCAATATGGCTGCTAGAAAACTGAACACAGCCTCTGTGGCTTGTGTGTTTGGCTTACATTTTTATCAAAGCGCAGCGATGTGGATCATTCCTCTTAGCTGCAGTCTGTCTGGGTTTTGTTAGTTGGCGAAGTAAGAAGCCCTAAAACTGAATAGTAAGAAGAATTACTATTTACTGTGCACAGATACTTACTCTAAGTGCTTTACAAGTAATGACCCATTCAGTCTTGTGAGATGGCATGGCTGCATGAAGTGAGGTTAAGCAATTGTCCAGTCATGAAGCTCCAAGGAGGCTGAGTTGAGGCTGAAGTCAGGCTGCTGGCTCCAAAGCCTGACCTTGTAACCACTAACTGGACAAGGCCCCGTGAGACACGGCATAAATCCACCTAAGAAAGCAATGACCTTAGAGCTTACCTTGTGGTGGGGCGAAGTTTCCTTCACTACAATACATTCTCCTTACATATCAATGGAGTGTCTGTCTTTCCTGACTTTTAACAGAGCAGGTTATAAACAGACACACATTTGTTGCAGCAATTTCAGCTTTAATGAAACCAGCACAGGCAGTATTTTTCTGATATCCGCTTGCAACATTATGAAGTCAGCTTTACTCTTTGCCACTAATTATATTAACTATTTTTAGGGCAAACTGTCAATGCACCATACTGGTTCATGCTTCCTAGGTTTTCAATTTATTTTCTTTAGCCATATCTATTTATACCTCAAGTGTTTTTCTTTTAAGAGTCATCCTCATTTTCCTGACAACGATATAGTTGTGGCTCATAATTAAGTTATAAAACATGCTGGGAGGCCAACGATGACGTGTGATTGCCATGGGGGATATTATTGATGAATATTGCATTGGTTTTTGAATTCTGAATTCAAACCCACTTTAACATTTTGAATCATAAAGTTACAGAACTGGTAGGGACCCGAAGTCTCTTTAGCGTTGGTTAAGATCATAGGCTTGGAGTCAGCAAGCAGTGTGGACCCTTAGGCTGGGATCTTAACCATTGTAAGTCTTAGTTTTCTTGTCTAGAAAATGGGGATCCTGCCGGGCGCGGTGGCTCAAGCCTGTAATCCCAGCACTTTGGGAGGCCGAGACGGGCGGATCACGAGGTCAGGAGATCGAGACCATCCTGGCTAACACAGTGAAACCCCGTCTCTACTAAAAAATACAAAAAAACTAGCCAGGCGAGGTGGCGGGCGCCTGTAGTCCCAGCTACTCGGGAGGCTGAGGCAGGAGAATGGCGTAAAAACCCGGGAGGCGGAGCTTGCAGTGAGCTGAGATCCGGCCACTGCACTCCAGCCTGGGCGACACAGCGAGACTCCGTCTCAAAAAAAAAAAAAAAAAGAAAATGGGGATCCTGACATCCATCTTCTAGACCTCTTTTTGTGGATTGAGACAGTGACTGTAACTCTGTTCCCTGTATCTACTTTTATTCCATGGTAGTTGTGGTAATTACTATTATTATTATTATTACTATTACTATATTATCTTTCCCCAGATGACTCTAAGGGTATACAGTCTCTTCAAGCACATCTGGCCCTATTCTAACAGGCCTTTTTCTCCTCCATGCTCTACCAGAACTCCTGGACTTTCCCTTAGTTGGAGAGGTTCATGGTTAGAAGGAAGAAAACCCTGCAACCCACTGCCTCCCTTTGCTCTCTCTCTGGGGCATCGTGGGCAGCTCTTGCTGCAGAGAGCTGTGCTGAGGCCCTTTACCTGTACAGCGGACCCTCCAACAGCACTTCTGTCTATGGTCCTACTCGGCAAGGATCTGCCTCCACACAGCCCTCCCAATGTGCCTGAAAATATCAGCAGTGATCCTTTCCCTGGCCACCTTGCTCTTAAGGCTCCTGTTCATAGTACTATGTGGATGTGGACCTCCTCGCCTCTCTGCACTGCCCATGATGGTGGATTACAGCAGAATGGGCTCGCCAGTTGACAGCTTTCCCCACTCATGTCTTCTAACTAGCTAAGCTTAGGGTGGCTGTCCCCATTGCGCAGAAAATTGCTACTTAGCCCTCATAGCAAACTTGTTTTGAGAAGCATAACCATAAACCCATCTTTGGCCTACGATCCTAGGGAGTCCTCATGCCAACAAGACCTTTTGGGGTCAGCCACGAATGTGAAGTTAGAATGCAGTTTAGGCTCTGCCATGACTCTGAACTAAATATGATTTTAGGGGTGAGGAAACTGGGACCTAGGGGTTTGAGGAACTGGCCCGAAGGTATGGAGAGTACCTGACTTTGTCGTTCTTCCAGGATATGATATTTATTCCTGGCACGAATCCCCTCTACCTTGTATTGAAAGCAAGGACAGCCTCCCTGCAACCACACATTACACCTGGCCATCCAGCAGGTGCATACTAAAAGTGTGTTGAGTTGAATTATCAGACTCTCAGCAGCCATGCAGCACTGAAGGGACCGCAATCCCTTTGCCTCTGCGTCCTTAGGGCTAAGCACGAGGTCTCGATGTCTCGCACTGTGGGCCGGGCCGGCTTTGGTGCCTCAGCCAGCAGGTAAGTGCTGTCTACGCCTCCTGCAAGTCCAGTGGTTCCTCTCCAGACTTGGGTGCACTGGGCCAGGCTGCGCCTTACTGACCTCAAGGCTTCCTGTGTTTGTGGCTTTGGGGCCCTCTTCATCGTGTGAATAGGAATAAGAAGATTGTTATTTCTGGCCAGGTGCGGTGGCTTGCGCCTGTAATCTCAGCACTTTGGGAGGCCGAGGAGGGCGGATCACCTGAGGTGGGGCGTTCGAAACCAGCTTGATCAACATGAAGAAACCCCATCTCTACTAATAATACAAAATTAGCCGGGCGTGGTGGTGTATGCCTGTAATCCCAGCTACTTGGGAGGCTGAGGGAGGAGAATCACTTGAACCCGGGAGGCGGAGGTTGCGTTGAGCCGAGATCACGCCACTGCACTCCAGCCTGGGCAACAAGAGCGAAACTCCGTCTCAAAAAAAAAAATTGTTATTTCTGAAATAAATCCCCTATTTCTCACTATTTAATAATATTTAAATAATTTTGGGTCTTGACTCAACCCAAAACCAGGCACCCCAGACCCACCCACGGCCCGTCGCCTAGCAACAGTCTCCCCACCCCGCCTCCGCCCCGTTGCCAGCCGAGTGCCCAGTGCGCATGCTCAGAGCCTTCCTCCACACTGCGCCCCTGCAGGGCGCGCGGTGGTGACGTATAGAGTTCGCGACGCTGTCGGCGACCCGACCTCTGGGTTAACCTAACCCCGGAGCCATGGCCTCTGCTGGGGTGGCAGCCGGGCGACAGGCGGAGGATGCATTGCCGCCAACGTCCGACCAGCCGCTGCCTGACACCAAGCCGCTGCCGCCCCCTCAGCCGCCGCCTGTCCCTGCGCCTCAGCCGCAGCAGTCGCCGGCGCCACGGCCTCAGTCAACTGCCCGCGCGAGGGAGGAAGAGAACTACTCCTTTTTACCTTTGGTTCACAGCATCATCAAATGGTAAGAACCTAGGAGAGGACCAGGCCCCATACTCCCTCCAGCTTCTCGTCTCAGCCGTTTCAGAGCTTCAAGAGGCCTTGGCGCTCTAGGGCACGCCCCCGTTTCGCAGATGGGGAAACTCAGACCCAGAGCGGGAAGAGGCCTTTCCCAAGACCACAGAGACATTCCATGAGTTAAGCAAACGATTTGAGCCCCGAGAGGTGCGATATCCTTAAGAATGAAGCCAGCTTAGAGACTACATACAGACTCTTGTCCAGCGGCTCAAACGTGCATCCCATCGATCTTGAGCAAATTAAATCTCTTTAAGCCTCAGTTTTCTCACCTTTAATGTTAGTAATACTCACTTTAGTTCCTTATTTCAACAGACTCAACAGATAAGCATCATCTTCCCTGTGTGGGACACTGCCAAGTGCTATGGGATGGACACAGTAAAAGGGGCATAGAAGGAAAAAAAAGACATGATTGGGAATAACCCATAATTCAAAAAGATTGAGAGGGGAGCGGTGGCGATGGGAAATATTAGACTAAGCAAAAACACAGAAGTTGCCTGAGATGATTAGACCCACCTGTACTGACTTTGTTCTAACAGTACCAAAGGAAATAATTGTCATCCTTTTGGCCAGGCTTTAGGGTAGCCTGAGTTTTCAAAGTGACTCTGTAAAGGAAAAACCAAAAACAAAAGCACGAAAGTCTTACTGATCCCCGTGTTTGCCTAAATTATTTTTTTTTTTGAGACAGGGTCTCGCTCTGTCACCCGGACTGGAGTACAGTGGCGTGATCTCGTCTCACTGCAGCCTCAACCTCCAGGCCTCAAGCCATCCTCCCACCTCAGCCTCCCAAGTAACCGGAACCACAGGCATGAGCCACAGCACCCAGCGAATTTTTGTACTTTTTGTAGAGATGGAATTTAGTCGTGTTGCCTAGGCTGTAAATTATTTTCATTATGTTACTTCACTCTATATCCACGTGATAGTAGGTGTAAACCCTTAGGCTTATAACTCTTATTCAGCCATTAAAGACCACAAAGTAAATTAAAAGAAAATTACGAATCCAGTAACATTCAGGTGAACATGAATGTGCTCTTCACTGTTTTACTGAAACGGAATTGTTACAACGTGAAGGTCTTGACCGTTAGTGGCCCACCCACTTTTGAGTTTAAGCAAACTAGATTCACTTGCTGTGGGATGACCTGATGCTCTTCTGCCACTTTTCAAATAACTACAAAGGCTTTGTTCTCACATTAGACCCTGGCTTCATTTGGCTTCACTTGGTGTTTACTGTTTATAAGGGCCGGGCGTGGTGTCTCATGCCTGTAATCCAAGCACTTTGGGAGGCCAAGGCAGGCGGATCACGAGGTCAGGAGTTTGAGACCAGCCTGGCCAACATGGTGAAACCCTGTCTCTTACTAAAAACAAAAATTAGCCAGGTGTGGTGGTGGGTGCCTGTAATCCCAGCTAATCGGGAGGCTGAGGCAGGAGAATCACTTGAACCTGGGAGGTGGAGGTTGTATTGAGCCGAGATCATGCCGTTGCACTCCAGCCTGGGCAACAAGAGCAAGACTCTGTCTCAAAAATAAATAAATAAATAAATTTAAAAAAATGTTTCTGGGATAAGACAGCCTGTTCAGTTTTTGTGAGCCTGTGATAATGATCACAGACAGAAATACATATGGAGCCCCTATAATCCCAGGGCAGTGCCGGATTATAAAGGGTTTAGTCAGATTAACCCCAGTTTACTGGTTTTAAGAAAAATGTGGAAAAAGGAAAACACAAAATGTACACATTCACAAAGACAGCTCTTGAACCCCCCAAGAGTATATTCTTGAGCCCTGGTAAAGCAGCTGGATTGGGCTGGCCTTAAAGATGTAGTAGTAAGTCATACTACAGAGAAGAGGCTTTGAAGTTAGACAGTCCTGAGTTCAAATCTGTATACTGACATTTTCATGCCTTCTAATATTGATATAAATGTCTAACCTTTCTAGGCCATAATCTTCTTATCTCTAATATGTCCATAGTGGACCTCAAAAGAGAGGTTTAGATTATGTAATAGCTCTATAATGTGCTGACTGGGTGACCTGGGCAAGTAGCTTAGCTTCTCTGAGCCTGTTTTTCTCTTATGAAATGGGAATGCTTATGTCATAGGATTGTTGGGAGATGTACTCAAGAGCGTACCTGTGAAACCTAGTGGGTTGATCACATGTGCTTGTCTCTGTTTCGTCTAAAGGGACACAGAAGGGACTTAAAAAAAATACATAAAACCTTCAGACGCAGTGGCTCATGCCTGTAATCCCAACATTTTAGGAGGCTGAGGTGAGCTGGTCGCTTGAGCCTGGGAGTTCAAGACCAGCCTGGGCAACATGGCAAAACCCCATCCCTACAAAAAATACAAAAAAAAAAAAAATTAGCCAGGCGTGGTGTGTGCCTGCAGTCCTGGCTACTTGGAAGGCTGAAGTGGGAGGATCACTTGAACCCAGATCATGCCACTGTACTTTAGCAAGGGTGACAGAACGAGACCCTATCTCAAAAATAAAAAGCATAAAACCGAAAAGAATAGGACAGGAGATGATCGCTACAAAGTGAATGACCAGTGCTAATTCATCTACCAACTCCTAAGCAGCTGGCTTGTTAAACATGGCCTACCCCCAGATCTCAGGAACTCTAGTGCAAGGACCCCCTGGAAATAGGGGTGAAGGTGGGTCTAAGAACAGGATGATTACTTGAAGTCTGTTTAAGAAGCAGTCCTGTCCCACCTCCCATCCCCTCCAAGCGGCCAGGTGACTACCCTTCTTCTAAATTGGTGGGTGGTTAAAAGGTTACTCTCCCAAGATTTATTCTTAGGAACAAATAAGCCAGAGAGTACCTGGACTGGGGGACAACAGGCACACTGCAGGGGTAGGTAGGGGGAATCATAACTGAAAAGAGGGATTAAGAGAAAGTTCGCGGTCTGAAGAGAGACCCCACTCGAGCCTTCCCCCACCTGGCTTCTAGATTGGCAGCCAAAGAGAGTGGAAGTGCCCTCTCTATCATGTGTGACCAATTAAGAGAAAAGACATTGGGAAAAAAAAAAAAAAGCCTAGTCAATTAATTCTGAGAAAATGAACAAGCATCACTCATTTGCAGAGCTTCCACTAAGCCTTTTAATGTTTTATTCTTAAACATATGAGTGGATGACCAAGGCCACTAAGCATAGGAAGAAACCCCCTGGTAAGAAAGACACGGGTCAGGTGCGGTGCCTCATGTCTGTCTGCAAGCCCAGCACTTGGGGACGCTGAGATGGGAGGATAGCTTGAACCCAGGGAGCTGAGGCTACAGTGAGCCATGATCACACTGCTACATTTCAGCCTGGGTGACATAGACTCTGTCTCAAAGAAGAAAGAAAGAGAGAAAGAGAGGAAAAAAGAGAACGACAAGACAGAAGAGCAGAAAAAGCCACTTGGAGGGAACAGTAGCTGCAAAGGAATGGAGTGGTTCTGCAGCTGTAAATATGAGAAGAGGCTAGGATCCAACCTGAAAACCTTCAGTATAGGCATGTCTTTTGAGTTTATAGGCTAATGAGGGAGGAATAAGGGCAGAGGAGGAAGGGAGAGGAGACCACGTGAAGCCTGGGGGAGACAGAAGTCTTGGTGAGATTGATGCCAACATGAGTCTTCAATTAGGAAAGGGAGGCAGGAGGAAGGGTGGTATAGGAAAAACATGTAAGGACACGAAGCCAAGAAATAGCATCTACTCATGGGAGTCAGCTTCTAGCTTGGTGGTGCTGAGCATACATCCAAGGCAGGAAGAGGGGACTGGGGAGGAGGGAAGAGCCAGGAAACAGTGCAGGGGTCTTCTGAGGGATGGGGAGCTAGTGCAACTGTCAGGCTGGAAGCCAGTCAAGACACAGTCGTGGCGGGCAGAGATGAGGGCTAGGATCGTGTCCAGTCCACCCAGGTGGTGCTCTCTGGCCCTGGGTCCCTTCCTTTCCTATAACTTCCCCAGTGATCCTTTTGTTATTTTATTTTTTTTTTTTTTGGAGACGGAGTCTCGCTCTGTCGCCCAGGCTGGAGTGCAGTGGCCGGATCTCAGCTCACTGCAAGCTCCGCCTCCCGGGTCTACGCCATTCTCCTGCCTCAGCCTCCCGAGTAGCTGGGACTACAGGCGCCCGCCACCTCGCCTGGCTAGTTTTTTTGTATTTTTTAGTAGAGACGGGGTTTCACTGTGTTAGCCAGGATGGTCTCGATCTCCTGACCTCGTGATCCGCCCGTCTCGGCCTCCCAAAGTGCTGGGATTACAGGCTTGAGCCACCGCGCCCGGCTCTTTTGTTATTTTTTTTACTTCTTGCACAGGGGATGAGTAAGGAGGTAAAACCTGAAGTAGTGAATTTAGCCTTTCTTGTTCTCATAAGTAATTCAGAATTTTTGAAAAATTATTTAATAAAAGTAACAACTGCAAGTTTAGAAGTACAGAGAAATGGAAAATGGAAAAAGGGTTCCTTCCCCCAAGTCCCCTCACCTGTAGTAACTGCTATTAATACTTTCCTAAGTTCCTTCTGGGAATTACATATGAATGGAATTTCAAACATGTATATGTACTTGACTTTTTTCACTGATTAGTCTATTTTGGCCACCTTTCCATACTGCACATAAAGATCTACCTCATTAAGGCAGCTGCAGAAAATTGCGCCTTGTGGATGCAACATGACTGATGTAACTGGTTTTCTGTTGATGGGCTTCTAGGTGGTTTTCTCATTCTTGCTATGACCAGCAGTGCTAGGGTTAGCATCTTTGTGTAGGAGTAAGTTATGATCGGACAAATCCCAGCAGTAGAATTGCTGGAGCACATTTTTTATTGTGATAGTTATGCTAAATTTAGAGCACTACATCTTTTTAGCTATTTTCCAAAATTCAGTCTTTGTAGACTAGACTGCTTCAGTTAACCTAAAATGGCCTATAAGTCTGCCACCCAGAAAGCATTAAACAAAAATTAAAGTTGTAGATGGATTCTGCAAGTACCTGTGGATAT